ATTATGCAACAGAATGTGGTATTTTATTCTGGCAGCCCTAGCAAACTAAGATAGTGGCTAAGGTCAGACTTTGGAGCAAAGCCTGGCCCATCCCTTACATCATTTTAAGTAGGTTACTTTGCTTCTTAGTGCCTCAATTTCCCGTAGGACAAATGACATAGTTATAGTACCTACATCATAGGGTTGCCAGAGGAGTGAAGAAACATACAAAAACAAGGAGAAAAGAACAAAGTTTTCAGGTTGTGGGTGTAGCTCAGCGGTACGGATTCGCATTTATGTAGCCTGGGCTCACTCTCCAGCATGAAACAAAAACAGCCCTTGGACAGGGAATGGAGCACAGTGGTAGAACACTTGCTTAGTGTGCATGAGGGCCCTCATTTTGGAGGGAAAAAAAGGCAGAGATCCAGGCATAGTGGCACATGCCTATAATAGTAGTATTTGGGAAGCTGAGGCAGTAGGATCACTGTGAGTTCGAGACCAGCCTGGACTACAAAGTGAGTTCAAGGCCAGCCTGAAACGGCATAGTGAAACCCTGTCTCAAAAAGACAACAAAAGAATCACCAGGGAATAGTGTTCCCATTATGGCAGCTCTTTACTCTTAATAGCTTGGGAGGCTCTTGAGGCAAAGCTTATTTTTCTATGTGGCAAAAGATAGCACATAGGAAGAACTTGCCAAGCCAAATAATTTCCAAACATGCCCCATACAAGGCCATATGTCAAGGGTTAATGTCTGATTCTCCATGCAAGTAGCAGGGGCTATTTCTAAATGATCTGTTTCGTTCCTTTTCACATTTTCCATAATTTAAAAATAGTTTCTGCTGAGCACAGTGGTGTAACTTGTAATCCCCGCACTCTGGGAGGCTGAGGCAGGAGTATAGCAAGTTTGATCCCAGCCTGGGTAACTTAGTGACTTGGTGTCTGTCTCAAAAACTCTTTAAAAAGTGATGGGCACGTAGCTCAGTGTAAAGGTCCTGAGTTCTTTTTTTTTTGTTTTTTTGGTTTTGGTTTTTTTTTTTTTTTTTTTTTTTTTTTCCGGTACCAGGAACCGAACTCACGACCTTGCGCTTGCCAGGCAGGCGCTTTGCCGCTGAGCTAAGTCCCCAGCCCCCATGGTCCTGAGTTCAATCCTCAATACTGAAAAAGAAAGAGAAAAAGAAAAACCTTTTCTCCTCCCTATAGCTTTTTTTTCTATAGCTATTTTCTAACTTTATATTTTGTGTGCTTTGTGTGTGTGTGTGTGTGTGTGTGTGTGTGTGTGTGTGTATGCCGGGAATCAAACCCAGGATCTCACCCTTGCCAGGCAGGCACTGCACCACTGAGCTAAATCCCCAGCCCTTAATGTGTACATTATTTTTTAAACCTATGTCTGTGAGGGCCAGGAATATAGCTCAGTGGCACAGTGCCTGCCTGGCAAGCGCAAGGTCCTGAGTTTGAGTCCCAGTATCAAAAAAAAAAAAAGAAAATTGCAAAACAAACAAACAAAAAAACCCTATGTCTGTGAATTACAATATCTGAAATCCATGCAGATTTTTCTTTCTGTTGTCTTGGGACCCTGGTTGTCACGGATTATGTGTGCCAGTCATCTCTTGAAAAATTATCTGTGGTGGCCAGGTGTGACAGCACACGCCTATGATCCCAGCACCCAGGAAGCTGAGGCAGGAGGATCATTGGAGCTTGAAGCCAGCCTGGACTACACAGTGTGTTCAAGGCCAGCCTAAATTATAAAGCAAGACCCTGTCTTAAAACAAAAGCAAAAAAATTATCTGTGTGGTTCTCAAACAAAAGATGGCTGTGCCTTTCTCCAGAGAAGCTTTGTTTTTGGCCACAGGTGTCTGGGCACACCCAGGCAGTTATCATGAGAACCAGGTTCTCAGTTCATAGCTTGAGAACTCTTGATTTATTAGGCTATACTCTCTGGGCTGCAGAGGATTCATTGATGATCACAACTTCTCAAGAAAGAGCTTGAAAAACAACCCCCCCAACTGGGCATAGTGGTTTATACCTGTAAACTCACCACTTTAAGAGGTTGAGGCAGGAGAATTGTAAATTCCAAATCAGCCTGGGCAAATGAGTGATTTAACGAGAACTTGTAGGTAGATAGATAAATAGATAAATAGATAGATAGATAGATAGATGGGCTGGGAATGTAGAGCTCAGTGCAAAGACCCTAGATTCCATCCCCTGCATCACCCCACCAAAAAAAAAAAAACTCCCCTCACCTTTCCCTTCTACTGTTCTACTCAGCGTCAAGAAGTTTTCCTGACGTTTCCTGTGGCTAGTGGTGTAGGCTGTGCTGCAGGTTCCACACTAGACTGGAAAGTGAGACCCCTAAAGAGATTCTGCTGTAAGGTGCTCCACTTGGGATAGCCCTTGGACTTTCACCTCTGTCCCTCTTGCCTTGCATGGCTGACAAAGTGAAAGTCACAGGTTCAATATTTGCAAAAGGCCTTACATGCTAAATGGTTTCCATGCCCCAGTATTTGAATCCTCTCATTAGTGGTTACTGTCTTTTACTCAATAATTGGCCTGGGAATGCCTCACACTTTTAAGATATAGATAGATAGATAGACAGACAGATAGATAAGGCCAGGCATGGTGGCACACGCCTGTAATCCCAGCACTCAGGAGGCTTAGGCAGGAGGATCTTTGTGAGTTCGAGACCAGCCTGGGCTAGAAAGTGAGCTCAAGGCCAGCCTGAACTGCATAGCGAGACCCTGTCTCAAAAAGACAAAAAAAAAAAAAAAAAAAAATTTAACAGAAAGTGCCTATAGATTCACTTCTTTCAGTTCTTCTTGGACACACCCACCACCCCAGTGTGGCCATGCTAGCCAGGGGAATGGTGTGCTGGCCTTAAACACAAACACCAAAGGCCCTAGTATGGGACCTTCTATGGGGCTAATCTCCATCGGTTGCCCCAAGTCTTCACAAAACTTGTTGCGTAGACCACTGGCCAGAACCTGGCTGTTAAAAAAAAAAAGAAAAGCCAGGCATATTGGTGCACACCTGTAATCCCAGCAGTTGGGAGGCTGAGGCAGGAGGCCTCAGTTTTGCCACAAGTTTGAGGCCAGCCTGGGCTATATAGTTACTTCAAGAACAGTCTGAACTATTAAGCAAGACCATGTCTCAAAAAAAAAAAAAAAAAAAAAAGAAAGAAAGAACCAGTCTAGGGTCTTGTACTGGCATGGGTTGTGCACAATCATGATCACATGTTACTTCCCATCCTCAGTGAGTTCTCTAGTCCTCTTGGTGAGGTGAGTGTCCACTTTACTGAACAAAACATGAGCTTCTCTTCAGCCTACACCCTCACGGCAGTGATGGCAAAGGCTATTTCCCGGCACCTGTCAATGCTGGTGTGGAGTGCTTTTGAAGTGTCCTGGAACTTTTTAGTCATTACTGGAATGGTGGCACCAGTCTATGCTTCCTGTGGGAGAGAAGAGGATATTTTGTATATTATCTAACATAGTCAGGTGTGGAGGCGCACGCTTGTAATCCCAGCACTTGGGAGGCTGAGGCAGGAGGATTGTTGCAAGTTCGAGACCAGCCTGGGCTACAAAGTGAGCTCAAGGCCAGCCTGAACTGCATAGTGAGACCCTGTCTCAAAAGAGGAAAAGTAAAAGAAAAAAAAAACATAATCACTATTTTCAGAGGAAGGATTAACTGAATAAATTAATCCATCACTACAAAAGAAAAGACAAAAAATTTAGTCTCAGTGACAAAAGTTTCAGCACAGGGGAGAGGGAAGGGTAAGGGGGGTAATGTGGGACAGAAATGACCAGAGTCTATTATATGCAGCTATGACTATGCCAAGAGGAAACCCACTCTTCTGTATAACCAATATACATAAATAAAAATGATAATGAATGTAGGTCCAGGACCATTCTTTCTTTCACTGACTTCTGACATTGTCCTCTGACAGTAATCTGGGCAATAATATCAGGTAAATATCACTAGCCCACATACAAACGGTGAAACCCTCCCAAGTCAGAGCCATGACTCAGTGTATTACTGTTATTCTGTGACAACTCCACAAAGTAACATCATACGTAAATGCCTTTCATCAGTGCTCTGGTACATGACACCCAAAACCTATTGCTATTGCTTCAGCGGGCATATTTTGGGCACCCATCACCTCCCCAGGGCTGAGGCTACAGCAGAAAACATGACCAACAGCTTTCTGTTACCACGGAACTAAGAGTCTAGTAGAGTTAATGGATCATGGAGCAAACAATTTTAAAACGAGTGCTCTAACTCTGAGCTATGGAACCAATTGCATGTAGCAAACAATTTCAACGTGTCTAAAATTATGAAGACGAAAACAAGGTGATGTGGCAGCAACTTTTTTTTTTTTTTTTCTGTACTAGATGTGGAACCCAGGGGCACTCTACCACGGAGCTACATTCCCAGTCCTTAAAAAAATTTTTTTAAACTTTTTTTTTCAATTTTGAGACAGGTCTCGCTAAATCGCCCTGGCAGGACTCAGAACTTGTGTGTTCTTCCAGCCTCAGCCGCGGTGCGGAGATTGCAGGGATCTCCCTCCACGCCTCCCTAGAAGTTTGGGTTTTAAGAATGAAGTGTAAGACACTGAGTGTCACGTGATTTATGCATTAAGAAGATGGTTGTCGTACCAGCTGCCTGGTCAGAACTGTCCCATATAAAGATGAAGCCGAGTACCTCCCAGTGTCGCCACATAAAACTTAAACTACCCCAACTCTGAAGGCGGTTCTTGTTCAAAACCTCCTTCCAAGGGCACTGGCGACACGCCTCCTGCCCAGTCCACCTGTGAACTGAACAGGCCACTAAGGAAAATACCTTTCGATTGGACAGGTCCAGGAGGCCGAGTCACTGTGATTAGTTACAAGCTCGCATTTCTCTTCCAATCAGACAGCAGTTTCAAAGAGCAAAAAAGCGTCCCATACGCGGGATAGATAAAGGCGCTCTGTGATTGGCTCTCCCCATATGAGTGACGGCAGATACAGCGTATGGGTACGCCCCGAGGTTGCACTACCTTGGTGTGGAGGGTGCAGCCGGAATCTGCGCTGTCAGTGAGCGTCCAGCCGGTTCCTCTACCCCGCGCGTGTCCGCGCCATGGCCGCCCCGCCGCAGCTGAAGACTCTACTCCTGGCGGTAAACGCACTGCTGCGCAAGCGCCGCTACCACACTGCGTTGGCCGCGCTTAAGGGCTTCCGGAACGGGGCAGTGTGAGTGGGCCTGTCGGGCTGGCAGGGGCTGGGGGATTGGTCGGGCCTGGCCGAAATCAGAGGCGCGAGTTCGAGGCCCGGCGCCGTCGCCCCGGTGTCCTTGAGCAGTCCTCGTGTGTCTCTAGGTGTCGATAGCCACCATCTGTACAATAGCAGTTGGATTTGGGCTTCTGAGCGCCTTGCCAGCCCTGAGCCGGGGCTCCCACTGTGCATTTTCTGGGTCCTCCTCCTTTACAACCTGGCACTACTGGTTTGATCCTCTCTCGGCAGCACCTGTATCCCCCTTATTTGGGTCAGGTCACCGTGCTGGCCGTGCGCTCTTTGGACTGTCGGGCTTTCCAGGCCCCGTCTGCACAATAGAAAACTGAACTCTGGCCTTTAGCAGGCAGGCACCCCCCACCCCCATTGAGCTGCCCATGGGTTCACATCCTTATCCTGTGACTCCAGCGCCAGCTCCTCGTTTGGTACTGGGGACTCATGGGATGTGACTGGATGTAAAAAAGCTGCAAGTATTTGCGGGGCATATTGATCCCACCTCATCAGCCTTGCATGGGGAGCTCCTGGGGGCATTTCACATGGCCGAGCTTGGCCTGCCTTAGACCTCCTGCATAAAGGCCACCATCTATTCAAGGCCTGCTGGGCCAGAACCGGCAACAAGGCAGAAACAAACAGAGAAAGGTCTGTGTCCCTCTGGAGTTGGCACCCTGCTGGCACCACAGCATGGTGGTGGTGAGCATGTGGCCTGCCAAGATTTGAATCCTGGTGTCACTTGCTTATATGATCTTGAGCAAGTCATTAATCCTCTCTAAGCCTCTCTTTCTGTACAGTATATCACACTGTCAGAAGACTGAGTTAGTATGTGTGAAATGCTCAGCACAGCACCGCGTGTATGTAGAAAGTGTTGTCTTTTACTCTTATAGTGAAATGATGTCCACCTGGTTTACTCCTTTACCTTCCTCAGGCCTCTGCTTAGGTCTCATCTGCTTATTGAGGCCATCTGTGAATTCCTGTCATCACTGGACACTTAATTAATAGTTCACTTGTGTATCTTGGTGTTTTGTTTTTGTAATACTGGGGATTGAACCTAGGGCGTTATACATGGTAGGTAAGCGCTCTACCATTGAGCTACATCCCCAGCCCTTAATTTTATTTCTTTATTTTTTAAGACAAGGTCTTGCTATGTAGTCCAAGCCAGCCTTGAACTCACTGTGTAACCCAGGCTGCCCTCAAACTCATGGCAATCCTCCTGCCTCAGCTTCCCAAGTAGCTGGGATGACAGGCATGTGCCACCATCCCTGGCTGTATCTTGCTGTTATAGTCCATTTCTCTAACTAGAAAATGAGCTTCCTGAGGACAGACTTGTTTCCCCTCTGTGGTGCTGAGGATCAAAACCAGGACCTCAATGCATTAGGCAAGCATTCTACCATCTCCAACCCAAAGACAGAAATTTTTACCTACTTTGTCCCTTAGTGTGCTTCTAGCACCTGCTACATATTAGTAGAATCTCAAGTATTTATTGAGTAACTGAATGAATGAATATGTGCAAAATAGGAATTGGCATTGTCCTTATTCTCCAGATGAGAAGACTGTGATTTAGAGATGCATACCCATTGTGCATGTCATATCACTTGGTCAGGGTTGGAGCCAGGATTCAAACCCAGAATGCCCAACTCCAGTTCAGTTTTACGTGGCGACATGGGGAGGTACTCAGCCTCACCTTTACATGGGATAGTTCTGACAAGGTAGCCGGTATGACAACCATCTTCTTAATGCATAAATCACATGGCACTCAGTATCTTATACTTCATTCTTAAAACCCAAACTTCTAGGGAAGCGTGGTGGGGGATACCTGTAATCTCAGCAGTGAGACTGAGGCAGGAGGCTTACAAGTTCTAAGTCCCGCCAGGGCGATTTAGTGAGACCTTGGAGGACAGACTTGTTTCCCCTCTGTGGTGCTGAGGATCAAGACTGAGTCAGTATGTGTGAAATGCTCAGCACAGCACCGGGTGTATGTAGAAAGTGTTGTCTCCAAGTTTAAAAAAAATATTTTTTTTTAATTTTTTTTTTTTTTTTTTATCTTTTTGAGACAGGGTTTCACTGTGAAGTTCAGGCTGGCCTCAAACTCACAGGGATCCTCCTGCTTCAGCCTCCTGAGTGCTGGGATTACAGATGTGAGCCACCATGCCTGGCAAAATTTTTTAAAGGGTATATCGTTGGCTTCCCTGGGAACTCAGTCAGGGAGGAGCTGGTTCCCAACAGATCTGGCCAGATCATAACAGCCACTGTTTGGTATGGCCAAGATAGGGTGAGCCCTGAGATGCCAGTAGCTCCTTTGCCAAGGACAAAGCAGGAGTGATTAGGAGTCACATACCCCTGGGCCCATCACAACACTGGCTTTGTGTACCTGCCCTCACTCTGGCTCTCCCTGTCCTGTCAGTGAACCTTCCCAGCTAGGGCCAACATTCTAGGTTAGGTCAGCCCTGTGAGCTGTAAGCTCCTGTGTGTGTGTGTGTGTGTGTGTGTGTGTGTGTGTGTGTGTGTGTGTGTTACTGGAGGATTGAGCCCTGGGCCTGTGCACTGAGATATATCCTCAGCCCTTTTTTTGAGAAAGGGTCTTGCTAAGTTGCCCAGGCTGGGCTCAAATTTGCAATCCTCCTGCTTCAGCCTCCTATAGTACCAGGATTACAGGCATGCACCACCACACCCAGTTTAGTTCTTTCATTTTAAGAGTTTTAAAACCCTTCACCTAGCCAGGCGTGGTGGACCCAGCACGTGGGAGTCAGAGGCAGGAGGATCACAGCAAGTTTGAGTTCAGCCTGGGCTACATAGTGAATTCAAGGCCAGCCTGAACTACATAGCAAGACCCTATCTCAAAAACAAAAACTAAAAAACAAAAACAAAACAAACAAAAAAACTAAAATAGGGGCTGGGGATTTAGCTCAGCAGCACCGTGCTTGCCTGGCAAGCACGAGGTTGTGAGTTCAATTCCTGGTACCAGAAAAAAACAAACAAACAACAACAACAACAAAAAAACAAACCTAAAATAACACCTAACTAAATCGACCTGGAAGGGGCCTGGAGATGTAGCTCACTGGTAGAATGCTTGCTTAGCATGCCTGAGGCCCTGGGTTCAATCTCCAAGAGCACCAAAAACAAAAAAACAGACAAACAAAAAAAAACCAGAACCTGCAAGGCAGAGGAAAAAGCAGCTAGTGAAAGGTGAAGCTGGGGGAAGCGGGGAAGAGCATGCCAAGCAGAGGGAGCAGCCTGGACAAAGGCAGGGAGAGAACCTGATGTTCAGGAAGTACCAGAGGCCAGGGAGAGCCCAGTGAAGAACAGATGCCCTAATAACTATTTTCTTTTGTTTCTACAGCTATGGAGCCAAAATCCGGGCCCCTCATGCTCTGATCATGACCTTTCTCTTCAGGAGCGGCAGGTACCCACTCAAACCAAGGGAGAATGAGGTCAGCCCTCAGTGCCAGGACGGTTGCAGTAGCTTCCCGGCCGGGTCTAGCCTGCCCCCTCCACGCTTCCTGAAGCCCAGCTTTGACCCTGTGCCCTGCATGGAGATGCCCCAGCTCCCTGCCGTCCTCTGGAGAAGCCCACCTTCCGGGCAGGGCCTTCTACAGGCTGCCGCGCTGTCCTCACGGTGTTGACGCTGGGTTGGCATCGAGTCTGGCACACAGAACTCACTGGCTGTCCATGCCCATGCCACGTGTGGTTCCAGTCCTCACATGTGCTCATGCTACCCCTCTTTCCTGTTCCGCTGCCTTCCCCTTCCTAGCAGCCCGAAGCAGTTCTCTGGCGGTCGCGTCCTCTGAGAAGCCGTCTCTGCTCTCTCCTTTGCTCGCCCGGCTTGGCCTTCCTGTGTCTCCAGTAACTCTTCCCTCACAGCCCTCCTCAGAGGACATCTTAGGGTCTAGTTCTCATTGCACAGACTCACCCGGACCCTAACAGGGTCACACACAGGCAGCCTATTGCTCAGTCTAACTTGCTAGATTTTCTCCTTTTATATTTTTGTTTTATTTCTTTTTGTTTGTTTTGGAGTGTTTTGCCCTCTGAACTTTTTTTTTCTTTTTTGTAGTATTGGGGCTGGAACCTACAGCCTTTGCCCTGAACTATATCCCCAGCTGGTTTTTTATTTTTTATTTTTTTCTTTGAGACAGGATCTTGATAAGTTGTCCAGGGTGGGCTTGAATTTGCAGTCCTCTCCCTCAGCTTCCCAGAGGGCTAGAATTATGTGCTTGCACCACCACACCCAGTTTGAACCATTTTGTTGTGGTTGTTGAACTGAGCTTTTTCAGCCAGTCAGCAAATATTTTTTAAACATCTACTATGTGCCAGACACTGTTATAGGTGCTAGGGACACAGATTGATAAAACAGATTGATTCAGGCACGGTGGCTTATGCCTGTACTCCCTAATCTGGGAGGCTGAGCCAAGAAGATCACAAGTTTGAGCCCAGACTGGGCAATTTAGCAAGATCTTATCTCAGAACAACAAAGAGCTGGACATGCAGCTCAGTGAGAAAGCACTGGGTTCAATCCCTACTACTGAAACTTTTTAAAAAAGAAAGAAAGTAAATTGATCTCTGCCCTCCTAGAGCTTACTGCCCAGCTCCTGGAGTTACCATAGCAGCAAGTGGACATAAGAAAGAAGGCAGGCAGAATGTGTGTTAGTCCGCTTTCGGTGATTGTCAGAGGACACCTGAGGAGGAAGGTGTTAGCTCATGGTTTCCGAGTTTTAGCCCGTGGTCACCCCGTCGCTGTGGGCTTGTGGCAAGCAGGTCATGGCCAAAGGGCAGAAGTGCAAAGCTGTCACCCCGTGGCACCCAGGAAGCTGGGCAAGGCCTGGGGGTGCAGCTCAGTGTGGGGCTCTCGCCTAGCACACAGGAGGCCCTGGGTCCATCTTCAGCACCACAGAAAAAAGAAAGGAAGGAAGGGGCCAGGGGTCCAATATTTCCTTCAAGACCTGGCCCCCACGACCTGTTTTCTCCACTCGGCTCACCATGTAGAGTTTCCAGCACCTCCGTGGCACCACTTTGGAACCAAGCCTTCTGCACAGGAGCTTTGGGGCACGTTCCAAACCCAAACTGTAGTCAGAAGGCAATGCAGGGCATGGGAAAGAAAACTTGGGGCAGGGGAAGAGGAAGAGGGGATGAGAGCGCTGGAAAGGGTGGAGGTTGCAGAATTAAATCCAAAAGGCCTCCATGAGAAAACCACAGTAAAATCAAGACTTGAAGCTGGATGTGGTGGTGTACACCATTAGTCCCAGCACTCAAGAGCCTGAGGCAGGAGGATCGCCAAGAGTTCGAGGCCAGCCTGAACTGCACAGTGGGACCCTGTCTCAAAGAGACCAAAAAAAAAAAAAAAAATTCAAGACTTGAAGGAGGTGGCAGCTAGTTATCAGCAGAAGAATGTTCCAGGCTTCTGGCATAGCTGGTGCAAAAGCCCTGAGGTGGGACTGTGCCTGGTGAGTTTGAGGAGGTTGGAGCCCTGTGGTTGAAGCACTGGGAAGACAGAGAAGAGGGTCACAGCAGTAACCTGGTCAGGCTCTGTCAGCTTTAGGCCAGAGAGAGGATTTGGGCTTTTTAAGTGAAACAGGAAATCATTATAAGATTATTCAGTGGGCATGGTGGCAGACACCTATAATCCCAGCACTTGGGAGGCTGAGGCAAGAAGATGGTCACAAGTTCATGGCCAGCCTGGGCTATATAATGGGTTCAAGGCCAGCCTGAACTGCATAGTGAGACCCTGTCTCAAAAAAAAAAAAAAAAAAAAAGATTTTGTACAGGAACATCCATTATTTGGCTGGCTTTTATTTTGTGTGTTTGAGGGGTCTGGCCCTGTTACCCAGGCTGACCTCAGACTCTTGGCCTTGAGCCTCCCACCTCCACTTCTGAGCACCTGGGACTCCAGGAACTCACCACAGTGCCTGGCCTGTTTGACTTCTGTTAAGACTGCGCTGCCAGACTTAGAACAGGCGGGCAGGGGACAGAAGGGTGGGGCAAGGGCAGAAGTGGGTGTGCGTGAGGAGTCTGGCAGTGACCCATGTGGGCAACAGCAGTGACCCAGCCCTGGGTGGTGGCCAGGGCGGGGAGGGAAGCGGGCTGTCCTCTCTAGGAGGCGGGAGGGCAGGGCCACGGCCAGCACTTAAGCACTGGGAGATCTCGTAGAGATCCAGCTTCTGCCTTAGAGCTGGACAAAGAGGCAAGAACTGGCTACTCCCAGCTGTCCCCCCTCACCAGCCACACTTCCACAGGGCCCTGTCATCCCACCCACTCACCCATGTCCGGTCCTCCTTCACTTTGTGGGCACTCGAGTGCCCCCTTGCGGAATTGAGAGACAGATGCTCTGCTCCCTGATTTCTCTTTGCTGCCCCCTAGTGATTTGTAAAAGATAAATCAAACTGGGCCAAGTGGCCCACACCTGCAATCCCAGCACTGAGGAGGCTGAGGCAAGAGGATCCCAAGTTCAGACCTAGCCTGGGCAACTTACAATTTAGCAAGACTCTGCCTCAAAAAATAAAAAGGGTTCGAGATGGGGATTTAGCTCAGTGCAAAAGCCCTGGGTTCAATGCTCAGTGCTAAAAACATCACCTCTACTTAAGCAGTCATCTCTGAGAATGAAAACAGAAGTCAGCATAGCTCCACCCCCGTCTTTCTCCCCACACAGACTCTGCTCTGGCCACAGCAGCTTCTCCTTCTGCTCCCTGCTCTGCCTGGCCGTGTGCCTAGTCCTCTGTGGGTCGTGGTGACCCTCCTTTCTGGATCTCACTGATTCCTCCTTGTCCTTCAGATCCCATCTCCCATCAGAATTTGACTCTTGTGTTTCTGGTTATGTCCTATTTGTCTCCTGGCCCCACCAGGGCAGCAAGCAGGGGTGTGTGTGTGTGTGTGTTTCCAGAAGTGTACCCCCAGATCCACCATGTAGTGGCATTTATTCATTTATTTGCATGTTCACTCCTGAAGGTTTATTGAACACCTACTACATGCCAGATGCTTTCTGAGCTGGGAAGATGGACACCGGCTCTAGATACTGCTTACTCCCCAGGGGCTTCTGTGGGGTGGGGCAGGGTAGGGGGCTTCCGAGTTTCAGGTGGTGATCAGGGCTGGGAAGGAAAAGCCAAGCCGGATAAGGGTGGGGAGCAGAGGGCATCCTGGCCAAGGGGGGTCCGAGCGCCGCTTTGAGGAGAGAGCAGCTGGTGAGGGAGCAGCCCCGAGACCGCGGTGGGCAGACGCCCCGAGGTCCTTGACTAGTACAGTTCACGCCCAGCCAGCGGGGAACGACCTCAGCTGCCCCCTTACTTACACCCGGACTCCTCCTATCTGTGCAGCCTCCGGGAGAAGCTGCGGGCCATTCTGCAGGCCACCTACACCCACTCCTGGAACCTGGCCCGCTTTGTTCTCACCTACAAGGGTCTCTGCGCCCTACAGGCCCACCTGCACGGCCACACCTACCAGGTGCACTCGTTCCTGGCTGCCTGCCTGGGCGGCGTGCTCGTGTTCGGGGAGAACAACAACATCAACAGCCAGGTAAAGACCCTCCCCCGGGGCTCAGCATAAAGTGCGGGGGCGGAAGGAGCCAAGCTCTTGGTGGTCTTCCTGCCTGAGGTCTGCGATTCACCAGGCCTTGCGTGACCTCCGGAAAGTCACGTGTGCCCTCAGTTTCCCCACCCAAACTGAGGGTGCTTAGTTGGAATTCCGTGGTTCCCCAAGTCAGTGTGTATGTTCCTCCCTAGAGCAGAGATGTTTTTTAAAAATCCAGTCTCTAATGAAATGAGGGGGAAAAGTGCCCAGGATAGATGTCATGAAACAAATTGGGCTGGAGGGGAGGTGCTGGGGATTTAGCTCAGTGGCACAACGCCTGCCCGGCAATCACAAGGTCCTGAGTTCGATTTCTGGTACAAAAAAAATTATCTCTCATTCGATGATTTATGTGTGCGGGTGCATGTGTATGTATATGTGAGTGTGTGTGTGTGTGTGTGTGGTACCAGGAATTAAACCCAGGGCTTTCACCATGAGCTACACCCCCAGCCCTTTTTTATTTTTTTATTTTAAGATAGCGTTTTACTAAGTTGGCCAGGCTGGGCTTGAACTTGGAATCCTCCAACTTCAACCCCCTTGAGTGCTGAGATTACAAGTGTGCACTACCATACCCAGCTGACTGACTTGTCCTTTTTCTTGGTTAAAATTACTTTTCTGTTTTGTTTTGGGTTTTTTTTTGAGACAGCATGTCATTTTGTAGTTCAGGCTGTCCCTGAATTCGCTGTGTAGCCCAGGCTGGCTTCAAACTCCTCAATCATCCTCCTGCCTCAGCCTCCTGAATGCTGGGATTACAGGCCTGGGCCACCGCGCCCAGCAAAATTCCTTTTTTTTTGGTAAAATGATGATGAATGATGGGGCTCCAGGCTGTTGTTTTGTGGTGTTTTGCTTTGTTCTGTGATACTGGGGTTTGAACCTATAGTCTTCTCACTGAGCTAAACCCCAGAGCATTTTTATTGTTTAATTTGCTACAGGGTCTTGCTAAATTACTCAGGATGGGCTAGAATTTGTGATCCTCCTGCCTCAGCCTTCCAGAGTCCTGAGATTACGTGTATTAGCCAGCACACCTGGCTCTTCTGTTTTTGGTTCAGAGTCGGCATCTCACTGTGTTGTCTAGCCCAGCCTCAAACTTCTAGGCTCAAGCTACCATCTTGTCTCAGCCTCTATAGGCATATACTACTCTGCTCAGATATTATTCATTATTGTTAATGCCCTTTGGCAAATGAAAAGTGGGTAGCACTTCTATTTTCCTCCCTCAAATTCCTCCCCTGTGCGCGTGTGTGTGTGTGTGTGTGTGTGTGTGTGTGTTTTGAGACAGGATCTTGCTGTATAGTTCAGGCTGGCCTTGAACTCACTACATAGCCTAGATTGGTTTAGAACTCATGACAATCCTCCTGTCTCAGCCTCCCAAGTGCTGGGATTACAGGTGAGCACCTCCACACCCAGCTGTGTGTGTGTGTGTGTGTTAAGACAGGGTCTCGCTATGTAGACTGCCATGCCAAGTCCCTCAAATTTCTTAAATATTTCTAAATTATAAAAAGTTTTTGCTTCTAAATTATCAAATGCAGATTAGCTGGGCATAGTAGTGTATGCCTATAATCCCATCTACTTGGGAGGCAGAGGCAGGAGGATCACCTTATTTTGGAGGCCAGATTGGGTTACATAGTAAGTATAAGGCTAGCCTAAATTACACAGTGAGACCCTGTCTTTAAAAAAACCCAAAAAGAGTAAGCTAAAATCTTGTTCTTTGAAAAGATGAATAAAATGAACATAGGCAGGCATGGTGGCGCATGCCTGTAATCCCAGCACTTGGGAGGCTGAGGCAAGAGAATCCCTTGTGAGTTCGAGGCCAGCCTGGGCTACAAAGTGAGCCCGAACTGTATAGTGAGACCCTGTTCCAAAAAAACTATATATATGTATATGTATATATATATGTATATATATATCTCCCTAAGAAAAGAAAAAAAGAGACACAAATTACCAAATCAACAGTGACAGCAAATGTCATCACAGACATTAAAAAGACAATAAAGAAACACTGTGACTAAGTCAGTGTTCACAGATTTGATAACCCGCCGGAGTGGACCAATTGTTTGGAAAATACAACTTGCCAAAGCCGCATAGAAGAAATAGACTGCGGAGAACTATATCTACTACAAGTGCAGGCTAAATGCCTGGCCCAGATTTAAAAGATGAGGAGACACCATGATAAAAGTCAGAAAATCAGTTGAGACCATGTCCCCGCCCCTGTCTAACTCAAGCCTCTGTGAGAGCCAGTTCCTGTTAGCTGTGTTTGGTGGCCTGCAGAGGTGTGGGTGCTGTGCAGGGGGACCTGTGGGGGTGTCCACCAGGGCTGCTGCGCTCCACTTTTCCCCGTGATGGTGGGTCTTGATTACACATTTTAATATCATTAGAGCAGCTGCTGTGTACACGCACCGGCCTCGATTTCCCTCATCCCCTGTGATGGACGTTTAGGAGGTTTCTAGACTTCACTGTCACACACAGACTGCAGTCTACATGTTTGTGCAGACATTTTCTTGAACACATGTGTAGGATAAGTTCCTGGACATGGAATTGTGACCTCTCGGGTAGTGAGCATTTTTTATTTTCAGAAATTCTGCCTGTGCTACAGTAGGGATGTAGCTCAGTGGTAGAACATTTGCCTACCGTGTGTAAGGCCCTGGTTTGATCCCCAGCAGACAGACACAAAGACAGAGACAGAGACAGACAAGACAGACAAAAATAAATCAGAAAGTAAGTTTCCCCACTCTAGTTTTTTATTAGAAATTTCACTGGTCTGCGAGATTCCAAACCCAGAGTTCTCCCCATATTTCTCCATTACTATCCTTCCCTGATCCCTAACAACTACTCTATTTATTCCATTTCTAAAATTTTTTCCTTTAAAAAAGTTATTTAAGTGAAAGCATATGGTATATAATCTTTGGGGAGTGGTTGGTTTTGCTCAGCATAATTCCCTGGAGATGTATTCAAATTGTCTTTTTTTTTTTTGTCTTTTTGAGACAAGATTTCACTAGTCAGTTCAGGCTGGCCTTGAACTCACTTTGTAGCTCAGGCTGGTCTCAAACTCACAGTGATCCTCCTGCTTCAGCCTTCCAAGTACTGGGATTATAGGCCTGCCACCACCCCTGGCTTCAGATTGTTTTATGTACCAATAGTTTACTGATTTGTATTGCTGAGTAATAGTTCATGTTATAGATGTACCATGGTTTGTTTAAAAATCCAACCTTTGAAGGATATCTGGGTTGTTTCCAGCTTCAGGGTATTACAAATATAGCTGCTTAGATTTTTTTTTTTTTTCCTTTTTTGTACTAGGGATTGAACCCCGAGCCTTCATACCAAGCTATATCCTCAGCCCTTCTTCTTTTCTTATTTTGTGACAGGGTTTTGCTCAGTTGCCCAGGCTGGGCTTGAACTTTCAAGTATTGAGATAGCTATGCATCACCACACCTGGCTTTAGAACATTCTTTTTTTTTTTTTTTTTTGAGACAGGGTCTCACTATAACCTCAAATTCAAGGCAATCCTCCTGCCTCAGCCTCCTGAGTGCTGGATACACGCCTGCGCCATAGAACATTCTTATATAGATCTTTATGTGAACAGAAATTTTTATTTCTCTGGGATAAATGCCCAAGATGCAGTTGCTGGGTTGCATGTTACATGTACATTTCGTTTTACAAGAAATTGCCAAAAGAATTTTAAAAAAAGAAAAACCCTGCCAACCTGTTTTCCAAGTGACTCTACCATTTTACATTCCCTTTGGGAATATCTGAGTGATCTTGTTTCTCTCCATCCTAGCCAGCATTTGGTTTATCACATTTTTTATCTTAGCAGTTTTGATAGGTGTATATGGTTGTAGATTTACTTTGTATTTCCCTGAGGATGTTGGACATCTTTTTATTTTTATTTTTATTTTTTTTTATTTTAAAGAATAAAAGAAGGATAACATAATAACAGGGAGGACTTAGCAAATTACAGACAAAATGGTAGGAAATTATCAATGGTTATCATTTTACATATTTTTGTCTACAAAATAGTTTCTCAGGAAAACAAATAGACAAATAATAATGAGTTACAGACAAAAGAGG